TCTCTGTAAGATTATTTGAAATAGTAAAAAATAGGTCAATATAAAAAGTTTAAGAAAGTATATAGACTAATTTTTAGTTATAAAAATTAATAGGCCATAACTTGTCAAGTTATGATTTATAACTAGATAAGTTATGGACAAACTTGTCGAATTATGGTTTATAGTCAGATAAGTTATAGATAAAAATCGTGAATTATGGACAATAACTTGTTAAGTTATAGTTCATAACTAGATAAATTATGGATAAAAATAATAATTTAACCTATTTATTAATTTATGTAAACTATTGACTTATTAATTTTAATTCATCTTAAATTTTAACTTATTTTCCTTTTTCTTCCATATTTCTATTGGTATTTTCGGCCCAAAAAAATTGTAGTATGATGAGAATCCCTTTAAACTGTGCATATGATGCGGTCCTTAGACCAAATGGTTGGCAGCTCATGTGCATGTTATGGATGACAATAGAGCTTGTGTCCGGAATGTGGACCGAACTTCTGTGTCCCACGAAATTAATCTCCATCACTCCTCTTTTCCTTTGTTTTGTTTATCTTTTCCTTTTTCAAATTTTTTGTTTTTGGTCCAAATACAAGCACGATATTTGGTGTAAGCTCCTGCACATGGCAAACACCCTGCTAGGAAATTGCTCCCCAACGATGGAAAATCAAAGCAGAAAAGGGGCGTGTGAGGGGAAGTTTCATTTATCTCTATACCAAAATAGGTTAGGGTCCGTTTAATTCGTTGATTTAAGTTTTTAATTCGAGTTGAAATGTGATTTTATATGAGAGCTTTTTACTGTAGCAAAAAAGTTAGATGTAACTGTTTCTGAGAGCTTTTTACGATAGTAAAACTCGAATTCTAAATTCGAATTGGTGAAATGAATGGGGCCTAAGTTTGCTGGGGGCAAAAGAAATTAAAAGCATAGAGAACAAGAGCAATAAATAAAAGGAGAGAAAATCCAAAAAAGTATTCCGTTTTGTCTAAATATAACTTTTATTTTTGAGTTTTTTAGGCCTCATTCGCTTTGTGGATTCGAGTTTTCAATTCAAGCTGAGATATGACATTTTCTGAGAACTTTTTACTGTAAAAACTTAAAACTGAAAACTTGAATCGGTGAAATGAATGATGCCTTAAAATTCAAAAAGTATTTCTTGTGTTTTTCAACCCTTACAATATCTATTCTTTTAACTTTATAGGTTTAACTTTTTTTAAAAGGTCAAATTATCTTTAAATATCTCATATAATGATTAAATTTGTGGTGGGTTATACCAATTTTTAAATATCCCTCTTAGATTTTTTTTTTTTTTTTAAGTAAACCTCTTAGGAAATTTATGGCATCAATTTAAAATTTTTTTATTTTTTTGCTTTTTTCATTTTAATAAGAAAGTGACATCTGTTTTGAAAAATATATGTAATTATATATATATATATATATTTGAAATTCTATTTGGCAAAACATGACGAGTTTATTTATTATTTTGAGGTGAAAGTGTATTTTGTAGTGCATAATAAATCAACTTGCTAGAATTGTCCAATACTACTACGTAAAAAAGAGTTTACATCTTTTTTTTTTTTTTTTTAAGATTTCACTTTTTTATTAAAATTGAAAAAACTTATTTAAATTGGTGCCATAAATTTCCTAAAAGAGCCACTTCAAAAAAAAGAAAGAAAAATAACTTAAGAGTAGTGTTTGGAAATTGGTATAGTCCAACACAAATTTGAATGATATATGAGATATCTATGTGAACACCTTCACATGTGTGTTTCAAAATTCAAATTTAAACTTAAATAATCACACTATTTAATTAATAATTAATTATCCTTGAGCGTTTTATTTTAGAATTTCATAATTTTAAAATTCTCATTTTGATCTTAGTTTCTTGTAGGATTACAAGGACGACGCAGAGACTCATGGACCTATAATTTCGAGCTCTAATAAAATTGATAATTAATTAAACTAATTAATTAATTAATTCTAGTAATTCTAAAAGTTACTCCATTATAAACTTGGAATTGAACTATTGTAATTATAGACATAAATTACTTCTAAACTGTGAAGTATCCATTTGATATAGCCGTTACATATAGATTAATCATCCATAAATAATTCATAATTAGAGCTAGGTGAAATCCGTTAACTTCTCTAATTACATCTTTATCCTTGAGTACCATTGATTTTCTAATGGACAGTGATTCATCAATAGGAGCTCCTACTGGTCCAAGTACCGAATCAACCCTCAAGAGAATTATTTATCTACTTTTTTTTCAAGAAGGAATAGATTCCATCTCGTATAATAATATTCTTGGCTACTCACTTTATCGTGTCTCCAAAATATAAGGAATATGACTCAGGATATCAGAATTCGTATCGAGTAAATCAAAAGACAAATTCATAAATAGGAGTCTTCTAAGGACTCAGGATTAAGATTATTTTATATATGACTATCGGTAAACTCAATTAGAATTTATATACTTAACGGAAATTATTAGAAATTTATATTGTATCTGTAACCCTGTTTCACATAATCTCATTATGCGTAATACACTCATTCAATTTCTCGTCATATTAACAGTGCGGATAACACCATTCCATTCTAAATGGGAATGACATGTAGTAGTAATGTTTTAATTAAAGATTCTGAACTTTAATTAAATTTATTACGAACATCATTTTGATTATTATCTTTAAATATTATCCTCTCGCATATAGCACTTATATATGATATTTAAGGTCACATAGGTAATCATGAAATTTTCACTGATATTCATAAAATATTCATTAATATATGCACAAAAAATAATGAATAAACTCTTTTATTAAATAAATAATAAATATTCTATTACATCTCATATTTTTAGGACACCATTCCTTACTGTTACAGTTAGTGCCTAAAATAAATATTCTTATGTAGTTCGATATTTTCTTTATAATAAATGTCATCACTTAATTTGTACATTAAATTTGTTGTGATGGGATGATTGTATGATCCTTAAAATATCTGATTAGTAATCTTGAGTTATGTAAATATTGTTGTTAATATTTCATATGATGAAATATAACTTTTAAGCTTGCATTGTTAAATAATTGTTTGATAATATATAATTCTCACAAATGACCTTTTAACATTATGAAAGTAGTACGAATTTTACTTTCATCTGCAAACATATTTCGTTAAAATGTACTTATCTTTATTACATTATAGTGTTTGAGAGTAAAAGAAAGAAACATATTAAATTAGTGACTTTGCCATTATGTTAAATATTGTTGATAGTTATTACTTAGATTGTAGTCACCTCTTTCTCATATAATGCCTTTGAATAATGCTGGTTGAACTCTTTTAACTCGACACTATTTAAATATCATACTAACCGTCAAAAATGATGTCTAAAATAGTTTAGTGGTGCGATTTTTCGCTAAATAGTTATGCATTATACACTGAAAAGTTGTCTAATACTAATTCTGAAAAGTTGTCCAATACTATTTCCTAGATAAGAAAATGCTAATGATGTTTTCATAAGTTTTTCATTCTGTTCAATATATATATATATATATTATTTATGAAAGAGTAGTAGAAAATTATTATCATTTGTAATCTCTACTCGAATAGTTGCAATAAGATTCAAATAACTATCTACTGTAATTATAATATAATGGTGCTGTTTATATGGCTTGCATTAATCTTTATTGTCGCATCAATAATTATTCTATAATTAAGACATGATTGGTTGATAGGCTATAACTATCAGGGATGACTAAGGGTATGTTTAGTAGTGATCAATTTTCTAGTCATTCACGTGTTTGATAAAACCACAAAACGTGATTCTTAAAGAATTTTTGAAGAATTTATAGTCAAAATTAAAAACAGTCTAAAAAAAACTTTGGCTTTTAAATTGTGCGGCAATCACCTTAAATTACAATTAATGAAATTTTCATAATACCTATAAAATCAATACTTATACAATTATAATTTATCAAATATTCAACTGTTTTTTTTTTCAACACAACTAACAATAATTTTTTAAAAATCTACGGTACTACTAAACTAGTACTACTAAACTAACTCTAAACCTATAAAAAAGAAGTCAGAGTAACGAGGTGGCTAGAAACCTATCAAGAAAGGTCATTACCTACTTGCCAAGGAACAATGATTATTTTAAACAACGTGAACTTAAAAGAGTTCATTTTCAATCTATTAATAAAATTGGAGAAAAATATAAAGCCTTTTCAAAATTTTTATGCTAAAATTTCGTGTCAAACTATTATATGAATCTCACTTTTTAAAATTTTAAAACAATTAAGGTAATTTCTTTTCTAAGTATTATGTTACGGTAAGATAACAATCGTTCAATGTGGACAAAAAATGTACATGCATATTGAAAGGAAAATCTTCACTCCTGTTATGGATATAATATTTAGAGAACCATGTACATTTTATTCATGTTGAAAAAAAAAATTAAGTGACTGTTTAATTTATAGATTCAGAATCATGATTCAAAATCATTTTCATTTTACGCGTGTTTTTTGTGAAAAAAAACACTAAAAAACCATAAATTATGATTCAACGTCCTCTAAACCATACGACCCTTTTATTTTGTTTTAATTGAGTTTACATAGTAAGGGCATGTGTACACTCAATTAAAAGATGTATTTATAGGTGAAGATCATCCTAGCTAACCAAAAAGCATAAAAGTGAGTTTCAAATTTTGCCAAGTTCTAAAATGAAAGGTTTGAAAGGTGAAATTATCATAATTACTAGCTTGCTAATTTTCCTTTGGTTTCTCGCTATTGAGCAACTTTCACATGCAGCAAATTCACTAACTGCCGGTGACGTGATGAGAGACTGGGAATCCCTGGAATGCGACACTATTTACATCGCTCGGAACTAATCCACAATTGCTTAAATGCACTTTTCACAAGAAATTTGCTCAATTTCACTGTGCCTAAAGAACTAATTTGTTTGCGCGTAAAAAATATTTTGAAAGCCAAGAAGAAGAGCAAATTGTAGAACAGAACCCCCAAAGCTTCTTCCCTCAAATCATTCAGACATGTACACAATTACAAGGAATTGAAAGCAAATTATCCTTTTTTTTTAATTTTTTTTTGGACAATTACAATTTAATTAAGAGAGCTTCTGAAGCTTATGGCAAAGGTTCCTGTGAATCTCCCAAGCGGGAGAGATGGAGATATGCATCAGTCCCTGCATGAACACAACAAAATTATGCAAATGTTTCATAAAAGATTTGAAGAGATGAAATGAGAGCAAATAATAAGACGAATTGAACACGGATGATAAAATCAATGCAATCAATAGTGGAGGACAAGAAAAATGGTTAGCTATCACCAAGGCTGATCATCAGCACGGTTAAGATTGACCTGTAACCCTGTTGAGACCTTATGTCATTATTAGAGGGACCCAAAATTGATAGGAAAAATCATTTATCTCCATAGACACAAGAGGTGGTCCCCACATAGTGGGACCCATGTGGACCCCTCGAGTCGGGCCCACTTTTGGGTGCCCAAATTGATACGTGAATTTGTGATTGATGTTTAAGGTGTGGCGGTGATTACCAATGGTTTAACAATGGTTTGATATAAAGCAACACTTGCGTGAAAGCATAAATAAAGTGCATGTCACAAGTCAAGAGCTGCAATCTAGCTCAATGGGGAAACAGATGATCGCTAGTTGCAAGCTACGAGTATGATTGATGGATAGACGAGGGAAAAAAAACTAACTAAAAGTTGTTGTTAATGCCTCCTATCAATAATTATGAGCCTTTTGTAAACCAAGAGGAGAACCTACATGAATCATGATGCATGCAGTTATTTGGATCATTTTGACAAGAACACGTCAGGAAATCCTCTAAACACTCTGTTTAATAAATTTTAGCACGACAAATTCTCAAAACTCACCATATCCTTCCATGGAGATAGTCTGCAAATCTCCTCCAAAATACCGAGCATACAAGCGGCTTATTGGGAGTCCATATCCATATCCAGCCATCGTCACCGTATCAGCCACTCCAAGATCTGCGTGCTCATCTAGTGGGTTTCTAGCGGTGCTGTAAAGATAAGTGAAAATTTTGGGCAGGCCGCTTCTGGGTATGCCACCACCTTCATCTGACACCTAAAAACCAGCTTGATAAGCAACAATTGTTCGAAAAATACGCAGCTCAAGTAGATCAAGAAATTCATGTAGTAGTTAAAATAGTACCTTAATAGTAACATCCTCGATACCATCAGCAACTATTATTCTAACGGAAGGCGCAACTTTGTCCGAGTCCATGTAACGCTCTTGGACAGCACGCAAGGAGTTCTTGACCAGCTCAAAGACCATAAGATGCAAGTGTACTGGGACATATCTGTTACAAGGACCAATAGGAATTTGACAGAACATAACATGAATAGATTGCCATAACTCTTACAGTAGAAATAAAGGAGAATGTAAAAATCAAAGTGAAGAAAATGAAAAAAGACAAGTTTTGTTTTTTCATGGTGTCTGGTAGAAGAGAGAAAAATCCTCATATAAAATGTGTAAATGAGGAGGAAGGATTAAAAATGGTGGGCCCAATGATCTTTTAACTTCATTTCTTCCCTAATTTCTTCTCTAGCAAACAACCCAGTATTCTCTTTTCTCCTCTTAAATATCACCTCCAATTTCTTGCCTCTCAGTTGTTCTACAAAACATAGTGTCAAGTCCCATAGGATTATAGGTCGATGTAATAGCCAGATGGGTTTCAAAACTAGCATAACATAAAAGGAGTGAGGAGACCAAACCAAGTGAAAACAGAGCATGCTTACGGGAAAGTAAAGTCAGGATCACCATAGATATTAACATCAGGTGCACTTCCATATTCACGAAAGCAAATTGAACGAGCATCTTCGCTAGCATTTCGTGCAACCTCAACTGGGGACATTCTTGTGTGAATATAACCAATACAATGAGGAGGGGGGTTGGGATTGTGCAACTCAACATGCTGACCTGAGTAAGTATCACAGAAACTTTAAGGAACATCACATATTTACGCCAAAAGGCAAAAACAAGACCGGAATAACCTGCAGGCACTAATCCCAGCGAAATAAAGTAAAAGAGGAAAAGAGGGAAATAACTAACCAATTAGCATTCGTATTCCAATTCTCGACATGTAAAAGCGATCCAGGAACTGGTGAATCTCATCAAGATCCTCATAAACAATCTTTTGATTCATACCTTTCTTCAGCTGTTGAACACCCAAAGCCATCATGGGAACCACATTGTTGTGTCTGACCTTTATCGCCTTAATCATTTGCGTAAACTCTCTCTCATCGTTTGAGTCCTTGATGTCCGGAAATGATCTAAGGTCACGGAAGGAATCCAAATACCAATCTCGAACCTACAGTTTTGTTATGTAAATCAGTGCTTCTCTCGCAAAGTAAATAGTTGCTGAACAAGTGCTTTCACAATAATGCTCCTCATAGGAGAAAAAGAACTAAAACAAAGCTGCAACAAAAAGTGAAGCATCTTTTCCTGAGAATCTACGAGGCATTTCAACATCTCAAAAGTACAAAACAAAAACAAAGTATATAAGGAGGCAATTTTGCAATTAAAAAATAAATCAAAGCTGATACTTTTGTCACGGCCAGGGTGGTCAAATTAAATCCTCACTTTAAACGCAACAAATATACAAACATTCGTCAACAACAAAGCGGATATACTCCATTCCAAACACTGAATACATCCATACTTTAGACACGACAAATATACAAACATTCTTCAAGAACAAGCTAAGATATTCCACTCCAAACACTAACAAAAAGAAAATGAAAAGAACATGAAGTACCACGTTTACCACAAAGTAGAGTCCTTTGTCCCAACAACGAGGCAAAGCGATTGTATATTATACCAAAAGGAATCTCCTCTACAACCCAGACATGAGACAACACAGATCTTCATAAATCATCCTCAAAACGAGTATTAAAACTACTAAATTAATATGAAGGAGAAAAAGAAAAACAGAGCAACCCAGAAAGCATAATGATATTTGGGGTATTGATTTAGGAATAAAAAAGAAATAAGAACTACACTGATCAGTGATATAACATACGTAGATACTAATAAACAATTAAATAAATAAATACATAAAAGTACAGCTGGCCCAACACTTCCACAAAAAGAAAAATCCAAAGCCGAAACAGAAGTTCATCCCATATTTGCATTTTTTTTTTTCAAGTCAGCCGCTGAATTTACACTTTCGGTAATCGTAGTCTCTAAGCTTAAAAAATTAAGACCAAAATTTTTCAAAATTGAAAAAAGAAAAAGAAACAATTATAATTTAGTACCTGCAAAACGGCAGGTTTAAGAGAGAGGCCATAGGGGAGAGTTTCGAGCTCGAATGCTCTGCGGGCAATTCGAATCGGAAGTTCCTTATGAAGGAATTGAGCGGAGAAGAGAAGATTGCGAGGAGTGGGTTTGGAGCCGAACTCCATCATGTACCTCAAACTCACCCCTGTTTGCTTCATGCATCCCCATTTCTGGACTTCCTCGATCAAGCTCTTCGACAACGACTCGCACGCCTTCTTCTTCGCTGCCATGGATGAATCAAATTTCTTCTTCTTCTTCTTCTTCGTCTTGGTCAGCATGCAATGCGGAATTGGATCGCATTCAGAGGCGAATTGCGGTTTGACAATTGGACAAATTTGCTTAGAATATTCGCCGCCGAGAAAAGAAAAAAGGAAAAAAAAAAAAGAAGAATTCAATGGAAGGTTGCAGGAGAGGAGACCATAGGAGACGGAGGTGAGCTAGGGTTAGATTTTAACCAGAGCTTCTGATGACGCCATGAAAATGACAACTGCTGCTCTCTCCGTGTGTTATTGTTTTGTTTTATTTTTTTTGTTTTTTTTAAACAAAAAGAAAAGCTTAAGGCTGGTATTAGGATTAGGGAGGAGAGAAAAGGTCTTTAAGCGCTTCTTTTCCTTTTGCCACGTGGATTCATATCTGTTTCCCTCTCTTCTCTTTCCCAATCCTGGCGGCGAGTCGGTTTTTTTTTTTGGGACGAGAAAGGTTATTGTTGCACTTATCCGTTTAAAAAATTCTTTTAACAATATATGACATATGTATTTTCTTTTAGACACGCCAAATGTTTTACGTTAATTTTTTTATTATTTTATGTGAGATATGAGTTATTATTTTTTATTTTTAAAAAAATCTCACATGTAGCGATATTGAGCCCGTTTATTTCTATTTTCGTTTTCATTTTTCACGTTTTTTGAGAAAGAAAAATTGAAACGGGAAATGAAAATGTGTTTGGGAAGAATCCGTTCCAAAACCAAAAATGTAAACGTTTTTGGATTTTTTCCAAAAACTCATTTTTTTTTTAAAAACGGATGAAATCCGTTTTTCATTTTCCTTTTCATTTTCTTCTCTCTCTTCTCCGACTGCAAAACAATCTTAGAATAAAACTACCAAACGCATTTTCAGAAATGATTCCAAAATAAAAATGAAAACGTTTTCGTTTTCATTTTCATACAAAAAATAAAAACGTTTTGGAACCAATTCCAAACGCACCAACTATTTTCCCCACAAATATACACCCGACAACGAGTGTTTTTGAGTTTTGTTTTCATAAACACAAGATTGTTTTTAATATTTATATAATAAAAAAATAAAAGTATTATTTTGATAAAACACATAAGATGTTTTAAATATTTTTTCAATATTAAATTGATCCTAGTATGATTTGTTTTTATAAGAACATTCAATTCGAATTGAATTAGGAATAAATTTTACTTATATTTTATTTCAAATTTACTATCGTCCATAAATATCCTTTTATCAATTTTATTAGAGAAAATAAGACAAATATTTTTTAAAAGTGAACGAGTTAGGATTTCTATCCTTTAATTTTTATTATTAATTTTTTAGTTAAATAACTATATTAATAGAAAAATATTAATAAAAAATAAAAGATTAAAATTCAGACTCATATACTCTTAAAAATAAATTCTATAAATTTCTTATATTTTTTTTTCATATTTTTATTACTAAGTGTGGATCCGTTTTGTAACGGAACCCAAAGACTGACGAAACGTCTTGTTAGGTTTCTTTTTTTTTTCTTTCCTCTTCATTTCTTTATTTTCCTTATTCTTTTATTTACAACTCTAACTCTTTATTTTTCATTATTCTCACTTTTTTACTTTTTTATGCTTCTCTCCCTAAAATTTTATATATATTTTTAAATCCACTTCATTTCACGTTTTTTTCCCTAATTTGTTTCTTTTAATATAATTATTCTTACAAATACATTCCTATTAAGTTTTTTTACTCTCTACTTTTTTTTAACTTTCCACCCTTTTTCTCTCCTTTTTTTATTCTTATCTTTTTTTATCTCATTATACATTTTTCGTTTTTTATTTTCTCAAATTGACTCTCATATATATATATATATATATATATACACTTTTCTCTTTTCATTTCCCATAAAAAAAATCCCTACATATCCCAATCTAAATTTTTTTAAACCCTCTTTTCTTAACAAAATGTTTTGTAAGTGAGTTTTTTTTTCTTTTCCTTCCTTTCCCTCTCTCTTGTTTTCCTATTAATTATTTTTTTAAGTTAGCTACGTTGTTGAATATTAAGATTTATAATATATCTTATTTTAAAACTTGGAGCAATCACACTTAGCATCATCCTACAATGCTTGACTAATGATTTAACTTAGTTTAATTATTGAATTACACGTTTAATTTATAATAATTTCAGAATTACGTACAGTTTCATGTAACCAATCAATCAATAATTATAATTTCTGAACTAAAATCATATTTTCTCTGTATTATTGGATTTTGAAGAGAGTCTAAGGTCCATTTAGAACTAGTGGGTGTGGTTGAGGCGGTCCCACCCCGATTGTTCTGTTTTATGACCATTCTCAAGCACATGTATGGCCTGCCTGCTCTAATATGTGGACCGCAACACCACACGAAACAATATTATTAAGGTATCATTCATTTTATCGATTCGAGTTTTTAGTTTTAGTTTTTTACAGTATAAAGTTATCAAAAAATGTCACATCTAATTTTTTTTGCTATAGTGAAAAGCTCTCAGAAAATGTCACATCTCAACTCGAATTGAAAACTCGAATCTGCGAAGTGAACGAGGCCCAAATACTTTTCACTCGCCAAGAATTTTGATTTCTTGCTACAAAAGAATTGGTAGCAGGAACCTTAATTTTAGTAGTAAAAGTTTTTCACCACTAAAAATTTGTGGTAGCTCGGTAGCAAAATGCTTTTGCTATTAAAAAAATTTTGGCAGTAAAAATTTCTGCTACTAACTTTTAATAGTTAATACTAAACGATTTGGTCTCGAAAAATGAACCCGAGCTTGTTGTTTAGCTACCAAATTTTAGTAACGGAAATATTTTGGTAGCAAAAACTGAAGAATCTGCTACTAAATAATTGGTAGAGAAACGTTTTTACTACTAAAATTTTTAGTAGCGAAAAGTTTTAGCTATCAAAAAAATTAGTAGCTAATAACCTTTAGTAGCAAAAAGCGAAGAATCTGCTACCTAACATTTAGTAGTGAAACGTTTTTACTACTAACAATTTTAGTAGGAAAAAGCTTTAGCTACCTAAAAAAATTGATCGCAAATACACATTTGGTAGCAAAAAGAAAAGAATTTGTTACCAAATATTTAGTAGCGAGACGTTTTTACTACTAAAAATTTTAGTAGTAACAAGCTTTAACTATCAAAATATATTTGGTACGAATACACCTTTAGTAGCAAAAAGTGAAAAATCTCTTACTAAATATTTGGTAGTTAAATGTTTTTATTAATAGAATATTTGGTACCTATAAGCTTTAACTATTGGAAAAAAATTAGTAGCAAATACATGTTTGGTAGTCAAAGATATGAAAACCCGCTACTAACATTTTGATAGCAAAAGCTATTTTCTACTAAATATTTCAGTAGCGAAAACCTATTGTTACCAAAATATTTAGTAGCAAAAATGGTTAGCGTATCATTCTCAAATAAGAGTTAGCTACCAAATGTTTGGTAGCAAAGTCATTTTGTTACTAATGTTTTCGGCAGCCAAAAATTACTTCACCTATTTTTTAATTTTCAAAAAGATATATAGAACCTATTATTTCACGAATTTATAACATAAAAAATATTATAAACAATAAAAGTAAAAAAAAAAGCTAATAAGTTAAAGATTCATAATAATCCTCTAATAGACAAAACTTTAAAGAAATTCTATGTAGCATTCAAAGTATATCAACCAACACAAACTAAAATAATCAACAAACAGAGGCCGGTGGTGACGGCGGTGATCGATCGTCTTGTCTCGGAACGAAAGACCAAGGATGATCCGAAGGTGGATTAAGCTGTTGAGAAATCTCTGAATTAACTCATCTTGTCTTCTTGCGTTGCTCCGCAGCTCAGCAATTTCGTCTTTAAGGTTCTGGTTAGTTTCTCTTTGTGGTGCTTCTCCACCACTTTGTAGCTTTTGGCACCATGCTTTTTGCTACCAACTGATTTGGGTGGCTAAAAATATGTTTTTGAGACCGAAATTATGGTAGAAAAAACATACCAATTTGCAACCAAATTTATTTTGGTAGCAAAAAAGCCTTGAATCCATGTTTTTTGCTACCAATTGATTTGGTAGAAAAAAAAAATGTTTTTGAGACTAGAATTTTGGTAACATAAACATAACTGATTTGTTTTGGTAGCAAAAAATTCTTGAAGCCATTTTTTTGCTACCAACAAATATAACAGAAAACGTGTTTTTGATACCAAACTTTTGGTAGCAAAAACATACTCATTGGGTACCAATTTTTTTTGGTAGCCACAAGCACTTGGCGCGAAACCATTTTTGTTTGGGGTTAAATTTTCTGCTACCAAATGATTTTTTGGTAGCAGAAAAAGTATTTTAGATACCAAAAATTTAGTTGCAAAAACATACTTATTTGCCACCAAATTTTTTTGGTAGCAAGAAAACCTTGGCGCCAACTCATTTTGGTTTGGCGCCATGATTTTCGCTACCAAAAAAATTTTTAGTAGCAGAATTGTCACTTTTTGTTACCAAATTTCATAGTAGAAACTCGTCAACATACAGCTACTGAAATATGCTCTTTAAAAGTATTTTATTGCTACCCCAAAATTTTAGTGGTCAAAATTTTGGTAGCAAAAAATTAAAATTCTTGTAGTGCTCAATTGAATTTGTATTTTTTTGAAATGGAGATTAGGACATAATACAAATTCTCTCTTATTGTCTCTTAACAAATGCAAAACGGAACATCCAAAATTGAATTGATGGGTTTCACAAGGTGTGTATACCTGTTTTTTTTGGGTAGAGAAAAGAAGGAAAAAAAAAAAAAAAAAAAGACGAGAGAGACACTTTTGGGAGAACTTGACCTTTACATAGAGGTTATAGCTATGAGTAGTTTTTCTTTCTTAAACTTGTCATACATGACAAGCAACTGAATCTTTAGATATTGATGGGTTTCACAAAGGGTGTATACCCGTTTTTTTTTGGGAGAGAAAAAAAAGAAAAAAAAAAAAAAAAAAAAGACGAGAGAGACACTTTTGGGAGAACTTGACCTTTACATAGAGGTTATAGCTATGAGTAGTTTTTCTTTCTTAAACTTGTCATACATGACAAGCAACTGAATCTTTAGATATAGTTCATTGTCGATATTAATGTATTGTTTAAAATTTGTTCACTGAAATGTAAGAAAGAAAAAACCCTAACAAAAAAGATTATTATAAAAGCACTTCATCGTTTTCATCTTTTAAAAATGTGGAGGTTGATTTCCAACAGTAGAATTTGTATTAGGGGTTAATGACTACTCGCAGAGTGATAGATATTTGATCCGTTTGCTTAAGACGATTTAGCGTATGAGCGATAAAGTAAAGTGCAGAAAATAAAGATGAGACACCGAAATTTATAATGGTTCTCCCGATAATACAGGGTATGTCCACTGTAATGTTTGTTGTTTGTACTGTGTAAAGGCTCTAGGGCTTGTTACAGAGGCAGTGCACGAGTTTGTGTGTCTTGAAATGTATTGAGATGCTCTGGATGTTGAGGTAAGTTCTCTTTTTATAGTTGCAGTTTCCTGATTAAGGCTAGTTTCCTTTTCTTGAATAGAGTTGACTTTCCTGATTGTGTTTTTGATCTTGTTTCCTTATTCCCTTCATATCTTCTATGATTTAGGCTATCCTTGGTACGATCTGGAGCTTTCTTAAAATCCCAAAATGGAAGATTCTTCGGAAGATTTTCGGAATATTCTTTGGAGCAGTCGACTCCTCTGCTCTACCGAGCAATTGTAGTCGACTCTAGATGTTGCTGTCGATTCAGGTTGACCTTGAATCTGGGTCGTCTTCTAAATGCCATTAGCTGCTCTATGTGCTTAAAAAACCTCTGACTTAGTCGACTTAAGTGGACACGTGTATGATGGAGATTGAGTGACAAAATCTGACCCCAACAAAAAATATAATCTTTCATTTTAATTCCTTACTAGTAACTACAAAAATAGAACAAGTGCATTTCATTGAGAGCTAGTCATGACAGAAACGTATTCTCAATCTCATGACCCATATGATATCCCCAAAAAAGGATCGGTTGATGCTCAAAATCGGTATCTCTCTTGGGTTTCTTAAAACAGTAAATTTTTTTCCAAATTATTGCTTTTTATGCCGAATTGCCCAAACTATTCCTTGCTAAATCCTTTTTAAACCTCAAATATTAGAATAGTGATCAAATTCCCTAGAATGAGAGTTTAGATGTGGTAATAGAAAATACACAATTATATTCTTATTGCATATAGAATTAACGCTTAATCCGGCCCGCTTTTTCAAGGTGTTATTAGAATTTAAAATAAATTTTCTCATCTCATTCATTTCAAGAACATGAACAAGTCAAAAGTGAATTTGATAACACTACCTTAAATTTTAAACATTGTTAATAACAGAACAAAACACAATTCACTAACAAAAATAATAATAATAATAATTGAAACGTCAGAACTTTACTTATGTAGGCTGTATAATCAGCTTTAGGATTAGCGCAAAAGGCCCAGAGCAACGTGGCAATGACAAATCTTGTACATATATTATACGTATACTCCGTTTATTTTACCAATTTAAGTTTAGAATTTGAGTTTTATTACAGTAAAAAATTCTTAAAAACAGTAATATTTAATTTTTTTACTATAATAAAAAATTCTCACATAAAATTATATATCAAATCGAATTAAAAACTCGAATCAACGAATTAAACGGGCCTAAAAGTTTCAGATGCTTGGGATTTCCTAAATGGTCACGCATCTACGACATTCGTGGTTATCGCCAGAGAGCGATGTTCAATCAATAATGCCCTTTGTATATGCAAAGGTTATAAAGGTTACCATGCTTGGCTAAAGACAGATTTTACTTGTAGTGCATAAAAAATAGAAGGTGAAAATTTTATTTCCAAGTATATAAAATATAGAAAAGTTATGTATATAACAAAAACGGCAGAGAGCCTAATACATTTAAAGTTCGTTTAGTATGAGAGTTCAATTCAGAGTGATTTAAATCTTTAAATTTAAACTATATGGATTTTAACGTGTGGAGTTTAAATTTGGGTTAAAACCTTGAGAATCTCATGGGGCAAAGTTTAGAAACCCTTTGCTAACTACCATGATGTTTAATCATTTAATTTAGACTAACCCAAGCAATTCTAACTTCACATTTGGTCAAACTTAAGATTTATGTAATAAACATTATGCTCACGTACTCCATTGTATATGCTTTTGGAAAATTAAATTACTATTTAAATTATTTAAAGCAAATGCCCTTTGAAAAAAGTAATTATTTAAATCAAACGCAATAGATGATGATTTGAATTAATTTTGACAAGATATAAGTCACATAACTAATCAAAAGTCTTATTTTAATAAAACAAAAAAAATAGAAGTGTTGAAGAGGCTCTGTGCGACCAAGAGGTGAACCCGAACGACCTATTGGTCGTTCTCGTCTACTTGGGGTTGCTAGGCTGAAATGCCTGAACGACTTTAGGGTCATTCTTGCTTTTCGTTGGTCATTTGGGATTTTTCTTGGTCGTTCTGGCTTTCCACACATATTAACCGCAATTACATAATCAAATCTATCAAGCTTATAGGTTGGGATTAAATTTTAAATTCTACATTTTCACACAAATCATTTGGATTAATTATAAGTAATACACTTGACTGTATGTCCTATACAATAATAAGTACTATAGTCACATATGTTGTGAAACTACCTTGATGTTGTTTACAAAAATTAAAAAATTTAACGATTTAATTTAGACCAATTCGATAAATTCTAACTTGACGATTTGGTCTCACATAATACTTATGTTATTAACAGTATGGTCGCGTACTCCGTTATGATATGCCTTTGAGGAATTAAATTACTATGTAAAATATAGTCTCGTTTATTTTGTGGATTCAAATTTTTAATTCGAGTTGAGATGTGACATTTTTGAGAACTTTTTACTGTTGTAGAAAAAGTTAGATGTGACATTTTATGAGAACTTTTTACTATAGAAATCTAAAACTGAAAACTCGAATCGGTGAAATGAACGAAACATTAAATTTAATGTGGTAGATGATGACTTAAATTAATTCATACAAGAAATGGGTCCCAAAATTAATCATAAGCCCTATAATCAATTAAAAAAAAAAAATGAAAGTGTTTAAGAGACCCCGAACGACCAAGAGGTCATTCTGAGCGATCTACCGGTCGTTCAAGTTGGGGTCGCGGGCCTAAAATTCCGGAACGAGTGTATGGTCGTTCCTAATGTTTTGGTGGTCGTTCGATAGCTTTCTTGGTCATGCCGAGTACCTCCCATATTAACCCCAACCTTGGTCTTACAATCTTGGTCGTTTGACAGTTCTCCACTTCAATTGATTATTTTTACCTGTCAATTTGTTTATTTCGCTCCAATAAGAAATTGAATTAATTTGGATAAAATATAACTACCATCATTAATAAAAATTGTGAGAGTGTTAGCCCACAGGAACGACCTACGGGTCGTTCTCAACAACATAGGGTCGCTCGTCTAAAATTCTAGAACGATAATAAGGTCGTTCCTCAATTTTTAGTGGTCGTTCGGCAACTTTCTTGGTCGTTCGAAAATCAATGCGTAATTTCATTAATAAACATTAAACTATTTTTGCCATCTAGTTATTTCACGCTAAGATAATAAAACGCTTGTCCTAAAGCTTTCATTTGCCAAACAAAAAAACAAATAGGTTAAAATAATTTCATATACATACTTTTAGAGTACCAAAATATGACTCAAAAGACATAATCATCCACATAGTAAAAAAGATGTAAAATGCAGAAAGACGCATTATTAATCATCAGCTATGGATCTGCACTATTAGCGCTCATAGAGCTGAACTACAGACTCATTTAGTTCGCTGATTTAAATTTTTAATTTGAGTTAAGATATGATGTTATGTGAGAATTTTTTACTGTAGTAAAAAAGTTAGATATGATTATTTCTGAGAGATTTTTACTGTAACAAAATTCAAATTCTAAATTCGAATCGGCGAAATGAAGCCTCGTTCACTTCACAGATTCGAGTTTTCAATTCGAGTTAAAATGTGACATTTTCTGAGAGCTTTTCACTGTAATAAAAAAAATTAGATGTGATATTTTTTAAGAATTTTTTACTGTAAAAACTTAGAATTAAAAACTTAAATCGGTGAAATGAACGAGGCTGAAGAGGTAAAACTCTCTAACTTTCAATATGCTGTCGTCATTAAGGTTCTTCATCGCATAAGCCGGCAATGAGCATCATTATTGGAATAAAAAAAATAAAAAACAAATTAGGAAAGTCATTTTCCTAATTTCACTTTTTCAGTGGTTTCATTTTAGCCAATTCTCCCCAAAACAATCGGATTGAAATTCTACGAAAAGGAAAGAAGGCACTCCTTTAGTCCTTCCTTTTACAATCTTTTCGATCTTTGATTTGATTTTGTTATGTCGATAGAGCTTAAACTTTCCCGAAGCAATCGGGTGTATCGCCCTTCTGTAAGTCCCTTTGCTCCATTACCTTTCTCTGAATTCCTCAATATCTTTGGTGTTGATCACGACGATTTCGATTTTGGATTTCAGGAACCTCTTGAAGGCAAAATCATCGTCAAATCTCCCTCTTTGATCTCCCACTACGGTATCCGACTCACTCTCAACGGATCCGTCAATCTCCAGGTTCGAAATTCTAATCGGCTCTCCGTTTGTTTCCCGAGAAAATGGAAAGAAATAAGCTGCTAGAACTTGAAATTCGACGTATCTAAATACATAGAAGTTTTCATAAAATTGCATACTTATTCGTAGAAAAGTACATAGTTTGAACGATTGACTCACTCGGTTTATGTCATGGACTAAATTAAGCTGAGCTCCTTCATTTTTAGGCTAGACCAGAATTCTACTGTACTATTTCCTGTTTTCCTTTATTTTTTTCCTCATTAATCAACAATGACTGTTTTTATTTATTTAAAGTTTGGGTACAGTTTGTTGAGTGTCGAACTATATTTTGTTTCTTTGATTATAATTTTGCTGATTCTGATTCTATATTTGTTCATTTTCACTGGTAATTAAGGTTCGTGGAGGATCAGCAGGAGTTATAGAATCTTTTTATGGTGTTATTAAGCCAATACCGATTGTGTAAGATTTTAAACTCTGTTTCTGTTGTCGAATAAAATTTTTCTCTTTTGCCTAAATTATTTTTTATTTACAATTTCTTTGATTGACAAAACCGTACGTAACATCTGCCAAAATCCTTTTGACTCTTTTGTGGTAGCAGGTGTAGCCTGGTAGTAATTTCACACCTGATTCCATCACAAGTCCCATCCCCGAGTTCAAAATAGAAAAGAAAAGAGAAAAAAAAAATCCTCAGCTCTTTTATGCTTCATCTGTCATTTCTGGTGTGGCATTAATTTGCTTATTTTATGGCGTCAAAACAGTAACAAGGCTTCGTGGTTTCTAAATTTATCTCTATTATAGGTTTATGTCAGAATTGCAATGATCATCTCAAACTTTGATTTTTTGTTTTTCCCTCTATTACATGGTACTCTTTCATTCTTGTTTGGTTCATGGATGTTATCATTTATTGGTTTTCCGCACTTGGATGTAGGAATAAGAATGTTGAGGTTAAACCTTCTGGAAAGATCGGTTCAGGTACAACAGAGGTAGTATCTTGGTGGTCTCTTGCCTTCTAGTTTGGAAGCAATTTAGTTTCCAAATATGTACATTACCACATATCAAACAATTGATGCCTTAAGAATTTAAATATATATAATCTCTTCCTGAAACTCTCAAGTTTGTGGAGAATGATAATCTTGTGTGATATGCTGGTTTAATTGAGGACTGTAATGAGAAAATCGTTTAGACAAACACTACCATCAAATTACTGTTTTCTTGCTTAAATGTATTATGCCAACATTTGTATGTTTTTCTGTTTCTGTACTCTGATGCTCAAGTCTTTCTAATAACTCCACTTAAATAATGTTTATTATTATAGATGGTGCTCACATTTCTTTGTATGATTTTTAGTTTCCTCCTACTTCTTATTTCTATTGCAACTTACATATAGCTGTTCTCAATCATTTTCAATCATTCCCTTCCCACTTGTAAAGATATCTCAAGGCTAGGGCTGTTCATAAACCCGCAAAACCTGCAGGCCCAACCCAACCCGAAAAATACAATTTTTAACACAATTTTTTTTTTCGGCCCATTCAATGCTTGGCCCGAAGTTTTGGGGTGGGGTGTGGATTGGGCCTATAATGGCCTGCACACCCCAACCCAACCCACACACCCCATTAACAACCCTTAATGGGTTGGGCCTTATTTGTAATATCTAACCCTAGACTATTTTCTACAGTTCTAACCCTAGACTGATTGAGTCTTCAATCTTTAGTTTCACTCTTTACTCTTCAGACGACAGCCTTCACCTTCAGTCCTTCACTCTTGAGCCTTCCCCTCTTCGACGCATGACGACCAGACCTCCTTCACTCTCTGCCTCTCCTCTCCTCTAGGCCCAACTCCGGTCTCCGCCTCTCCTCCTCGGTCTCCGTTCCTCCTCTCCGCCTCTCCTCTCCTCACATCTCCGCCTCTCCTCCTTGGATCTCCGCCTCTCCTCTCGGCTTTCTCCGCCTCTCCTCCTCGGATCTCCGCCTCTCCTCCTTGGATGGACTACTTTGCTTCATGTTTGATGTTAGATGGACTGATAATGATGGTTGTTATTTCTATTTGATGATGAACTTTGAATGTTAGATTGAACTTTAAGTCTTTGATTTTTTGAATGTTGAAACCAACCACCCAACCCACCCCACACCGCCCCAACCCAACCCGAACATCGTTGGGTTGTGAAATTTTTCTAACATCATTGGGGCCAAATATGTGCAACCCGCACCCTTTAAGGCGGGGGAAGAAAAAGCCCTACCCCGCACCAACCCAACCCATGAACAGGCCTACTCAAGGCATGACAGATGCAAACTTCCCCTGTTCTTATCACGATTCATGTTATCTCATTTTTTGTTCAATAATCCTTCTATGTCTGTTCCTTTACAGTTTTTCCTCTTTCTGGCAGATTCCATTTTCTCTGTATCTCAAGAAACCAGGAGAAGAGAACTTAGAAAAATTCTACGAGACCTTCCATGGAGCCAATATTAGCATTCAGGTGACTATTCCATTTTCAGAAAAGCTAGCGTGGGTAGTGCTTTTTAACATCTTCAAAAGACATCTTAATAATATTGTGTGAATGTTGTTGTTTTTTTTTTTATAATATTTATCATAGTAGGTAAAATTGTTGTGGATAAGATTGTATCTAAAAACTCAAGTTTATATTTTCTTAAATAAAAAAAATATTGTTGACACTTCTTTCAAGTTCTATTGAGCATTAAAAATGTAATTTTTTCTTATATGAACTTTGACAGTTTGACTTTAGTTATAATATTTTTGTTCTTTATTATAAGTTTGATAAAGTAAAAAAGTGAGAGGAAATAAATCGTCAGAGAGATTTTGAAGTAGAGAAAGAAAATATTAGGTTCTTTCGTAGAGAAAATGTTTGAGAGAAAAAAAAAAAAAAGAGCGAGAATCCATTAAACTTACCAGGTTTCAAGAGAAGCATATTTTGTGGCTGGGAAAAAAAAAAGATAAAATGATAAAAGCCTCCTTTGTGTTTAATCAAAATGCTAGAATCTATTTTGTGTTTTCAATAGTGCTAGGGTTTTCCTTTTAGTTTCTAATCAGATAAAATTCATCTCAATAGCGTCCTATCACACATTTCGTATGCCAAAAATGAGAATAATAAAGGAAAGTTATAGGAAATAACTAAAAATATGAGGAAAAAAATGAGCAAGCAAACAACAAAAAAAAAAGGTTAAGGACTGGAACAAAACAAATCGATGCGAATTGCTTGCATCAAATAAACGATCAACAAAAAAGTAGAAAATGTATATTAGTAATAGCAAGCAGGAGGAAGTACATCTCGTTACTTTATTCGTTCTTTTCATATAGGTAATGATTAAATGATTAATGATGCAAATTTACAGTTTCACCTTTCTGTTGACTGTTTTAGCTCAAGAGAACCATTGGTATTCTTTTTATTTTTATTTTTTGGCCTATCTGACGCTCTTCATTTCCGTACTTTTCTGAAACAGCATGGTGACTAAGAAATCTTTTCGTAGTATTTATTAACTGCAGATTTAGTGAGAGGGTACCTTCACAAATCATTGTCTACAACAACAGAGTTCATAGTTGAAAGTGATAAAGGTAGTTTTTGACCCTTATGGAAGTACTTATTACTGTATTTTTTACTTCATCTAGATAACCTATTAGGGTTTTCCTTTTCTTTCTATGTGTGTTTAGCTGATTCTCTCGATGGACCAATTTCTCCTGAGATGGTGATCTTTTATATTACTCAGGACACTCAAAGACATCCAATACTTCCTGAATTAAAATCAGGTTTATTACCTACCTCCATCCTATACCGATCATTTTATTTTTAGCGTCCTTTTGGGCTTTTATGCTTTTATACTATATGAGAACTTTTGATAATTATTCTCGTTTTTCCTGGATGTAAAAAGATCACGCCCATTTGAAGATTTAGGTGTATTGCATTTAATTTTGTAAAATTTGACCATTTCTTCTTGGAGTATAAGGAAAATATTAATATATAACCCCATCACTAATAAGAAATAGTGTTGGATAGGTGGATTACGGGTGACAGGAAGAATGTCCACCCAGTGTTCTTTATCGGATGCCATTACTGGTGAACTAACAATAGAAGGGTCTGCAGTTCCCATTTCTTCAATTGATGTACACTTGCTCCGCATTGAGTCAATTCTTCTTGGGGAAAGAATTGTAACCGAGACATCACTTATCCAGACTACCCAGGTATGTAAGATTTAACTCAAAAAAGCTTTAGCTGAAATTACATCAGTTTAACATTTTTTTTTCCTCCTCCATTTATTAGATTGCAGATGGAGATGTGTGCCGTAATCTGACTTTGCCCATTTATGTAATACTTCCCCGCCTTTTGACTTGTCCGACAGTCATGGCAGGGTATGTTGCCAATTAGACAAATTATTGTTCTCAAATATCATTTAATTAAGTCTGTTTAAGCTCCACACTGCCTTTTCTTCTAGTAAATTGCACGCAAGCGCTTGCTCGATCTGTCAACTCAAGGAGAAGCGTAACTTCTAAGCTTTGTTTTAGATGAAACTTTCTTTGGTGCAAGTTTCCCGTCTCTGAATTCCTCCCTCGTTACTTAGTTAATGTTCTAATTTATCGCTAATCTAATGTGCTCAGTCCTTATCATATCATCTATGCACATAACCACAAATGCTGATTGAATTTTCTCTCACATTCTGCGCAGCCCGTTCTCCATCGAATTCAAAGTTTTACTAGTCATAAGCTTTCAGTCGGAGCTGTCCAAATTACACTCCAAGTCTGATCCCAGAACTCCTAGATTGTGGGTAAGCATGCTTCTAAATCTTTTACGACTTAGAGACATTGTTGTCTTCTAAAAGTTCTTCCATATTCCAGCTGGCAATGGAGACTTTACCACTTGAACTTGTACGCACAAAGTAACGAATTGCAGAGAGGCCATCATTGATTGTGTTTGTAAGTGGAATCTTGCCAATGTAAGCTTAGATCTTTGAACAGTGTGAAGGCAAAGTTAATAGCAAGAATTAGCAAATATATTTGTCAGCTTATCCTCTGTATTGAAATTTCTTTGTTTTGTATATGTTGTAATTATAATTCATGAGTAGAGAAAAGAAACATTGATGAAATTTGGCATTGTATAATAATTCATACAAATGGAATTTTGAACATCATTAAACGATTTATTGATTCTTCTCATCTACAAATACCATAATATGCGACAAAAAGGTACAAAATTACAAGCCATATTCTTAAATTCCTGCACAATCACGCCAATCGCCATGGAAATTTGAGTACTAATGCAACAACCTTTGTTATGTTGCAACCGCTTGGCGTTTATGGTCTCTAACAACACATTCTATTCTTCTTCTAAATATGGACTGCACAGTTGTTACTTTGGTTCTTCTGGATGCACATTGCAGAGTACTTTTGATTCTAGTAATACCTTGATGCGAAAGTAGGGTCCTTAATCTACTTTAGCTACTGTAGTTTGAGGGGCTAACTTTGCTTCCAATGTCAAGCTGAGGACTTGGTAACTTTTATGAATTCCTCAACACCTGAACTACCAATTTGGATCAGTAAGAACTTCCAAGTTTTTTCAACTAATATTTTGGGAAAAAAAATGATGACTCGTATCATCCAACTTTTAAAAGAAATGCTCATAGAGACAGGAGGTTTGCATATGCTTTCTGGGAAAGCTTGCTTTGTGCCTCGAGCATGAAGCTAAAGCTCTCGTTTAGTTCACAAGTTTGAATTTTGTTGATTTGAACTTTTTAAATTTGAACTTTGTGGTTTAAATTGTAGTTCGAATTCGCGTTTGAATGTGCAGTTAAAATTTTGAACTAAACGGGAAATAAAATTCAAATTTATGTTTGGTAGGTGTGAAAAACAGATAGAGTGGACACTTTTTTACTGTTTAAAAATGATTTGAACGGTTGAACTAAAAGGAGAACTAAACTCTAGTTGGACAATTTAACTCAGCTTAAACGAGGAATAGAATCCGAACTACGTGCTACCAAACACGAATTTAAACTATGCTCAGTGTTTTAACTGAGCTAAATTAGGGAAACAAATGGGGTCAAAATTTACTGCTGCTCATCCTCAAATGGATGGCCAAACAGAATGAATGATCCAAACTTTGGAGGATTTGTTGCCCGTGTCTTAGAATTTCGAGGATTGTGAAGTTTTACCACAACGGCTATCAAATTTCTCTAGGCATGGCCCCATACGAAGCATTTTATGATCATAAGTGTAGATCACCCATTCATTGCCCTGAGGGCGCTAAGAAACACATTGGTCCAAAAAAGGTGGATGCAGCCATTAGTTCAATGATGAAAGTTCGGGCGGTTGGTATGCCCGATGCCCGAAAATTTTTGGGCACGGCAGGCAGGTGCCATTCGCCGCCCGTCCGAGTATTTTGGTCGGGCACGGGCTCGAGCAGCCTGCAAAAAATCCATTTCGGCTGCCCGCCGCCGGTGGAGAAGTCGACCTTGCCGCCCACCGGATTTTTTTTTGAATTTTCCTACGTATCCCGAATTTGCCCGAATTTTTTTGACCCTTAGCCTAAATTTTGCCCGTTGCCTGAATATGCTTGAATTTTTTTGACCGTTAGCCCGAATTTTGAACCCAACAGATATTTTTTGCCCGATCCGACTGCTGCCCAAATTTTTCCCGGATTTTCAAACCCTAGCGGCTATTTTTTAGACCGTTGCCCGAACCTGACACAAATGCCTGAATTCCACTTAGCTGTTGGAACCGAATTTTTGGGGGGAAATTTTTTTTTTTTTCAAGCCAAAAAATTTCCTATAAATACCCCCCTCTCCCAACCATTTTTCTCACCCAAAAACTCTCATTCTCTCTCAATTTCTCTCAATCTCTCTCAAATCTCTCTTAATCTCTCGTAATCTCTCTCAAATCTCTCTTAATCTTGCTTAAATCTTTCTCGATATCTCTTAATCTCTCTCAAAGCGCTATCAATCTCTCTTATTTTTTCATAATGGCTTCTTCTAGTTATGGTGGTGATATTCCCATTGATGCCCAATACAACATCGAAGAAGGGCAATTTCCTAATATTTTTTAAACGCAGGAATCGCAAACTACAGAAAGAGTTGCTGAGGAAACTGTAAATCCGAGCCTTGGTGGACGTACTAGAGTTCGTGGACGTAATGGTGGTGGCACTGGTGGGCGTGGAGGAGAGGCAGGCTGTAGTGCTAGTGTAAGTGTTGCAAGTTCTAAGAAGAAATGTAAACGCACCTCAACAGTTTGGGAGCACTTCAACACATTCGAGGAGGTCAACAATAATGGAAACGTTAAATACATAGCTCAATGTAAATATTGTGGTGATAAATTACAAGGTAACACTATTCACGACACTACACACTTGAGAAGACACTCTGAAAAGTGTCTTCAAAAGCAAGGAGGCGGAGCCGATCTCTACCAAACACAATTATCGTTTGACTGCCAAACTGGCGGTCTAAGCACGTAGAAATACGATCCGCAAGTTGATCATATAGAAATGGCACGATTAGTAGCCACGTTAGATCAACCACTTAGTTTTACTGAACAAAGGAATTGACAGCGTTATATTAAAATTGTACATAATCCTAATGTACAATTTTTTTCAAGAACTACTCTTAGGAAAGATGCATTAAAATTATATAAACAAGAAAAAGAAGCATTAATCAACCTTTTGCACTCTACTAGTGGTTGCGTTGCATTAACGACGTATATTTGGTCCGCTGTTGCCAACAAAGATTATTTAGCTGTAACTGGGCATTATTATAAAGGTTTTGATTTGGATAAGAGAATCTTAGATTTTAAATGTGTTATAGGATCACATACTGCCAATTTAATATATAACACAATTTTATCTGTCATTGATGAATATAGTTTAAGAGATAGAATAATGGCCATAACATTAGATAATGCAACTGCAAATACTAAAGCAATAGAACTTTTTGAAAATGATTTAAGTTTATTCGATAATAATGATATATTTCACTGACGTTGTGCATGTCATATAATTAATTTAATAGTAAAATCCGGTTTAAAATCAATGTCAGGTCATATTAAAAGAATTAGAGATAACATTGCTTGGATTCAAGGTAGTAATCAAAGAATACAAGATTGGTTTAGATTTCTACAAGCATGTAATCAAAATCCTAGAGCATTAGCCTTAGATATGCCCATAAGATGGAACTCCACTTAAATAATGCTTGAACAATGCATCCCCTATAAAGATGCTATAACAAATAATGTTAGTGCAAAATTAGGAACATGATTTACATATGAAACTGATTGGCAAATTACCGAACTCTTGTTTAACTTTTTAGGTAGATTTCACGAAGTTACTTTAACGCTTAGTGGAACTTATTACCCAACGTCACCATTAGCGTTAGGAGAACTTTTAAGAATGTCTATTTTATTTAGTGAATTTAGGACATACGAGGTTTTAGGAGTTCCTATCGCCTCTATGGAAAAGAAGTTTAAAAAATATTGGTCTAAATTACCAATGTTGTATGGTTTCGGTGTTATTTTTGACCCTAGATTAAAATTAGATGGTTTAGAAAGTGAATTAGATAACTTAGGTGGCTTTTTAGCTAATCGACACTACTGACCAATTTCCTATTATAAAGGAAAAAATATTTTCTCTCTATAGCTCTTATGAAAGTAGGTTTAGAAACACACCTCGTGTAGAAGAACCACAATAACAAGACGAAAATCCGCATTCATTCTTGAATGTTTTCGGGTTGTCTAAGAAGAAGAAGAAGACAACGGCGACGACTCAAGGTTAAGAAGAATATGGGAGTGGATTTCATCAAGAGGTGACGGCAACAGCGGCGACTTCAACGAGTTAATAGAGTACCTGAGTGAGGGCTTAGTTGTAGACAATAATGAAATGTTTGATTTGGTTCAGTGGTGGAGGGCACAAACATTAACTTGGCCGATCCTAGCACGACTGGCAATGGATATTTTTTCGATCCCAGTCTCCACTGTTGCATCCGAATAAGCATTCAGTACAATCGGCCGAATACTTGAAGAACGGAGAAACGCATTGCAACATGATATTGTTGACGCTTTGGTGTGCATCAAGGATTGGGATCATTCCGACCAACGCTTACACGATACAATCTCACCGGCAAGCCAATAATGGATTGACGAATTTAATAGACTCACTTTTAATTTTAAAGGCGATCCTTCTGCTTCAAATTAAATTTTATTATTGTAATTTGTAAATATTTATTTACTTTGTAATTTGTATAGTGTTATTGTAATCTTGTATAGACTTTGTAAGTTCGTCAAATTTGTAATTCGTCCCACAATGATTGCACTCTTTTTTCCTTACCAAGTTTTTATCTCGATTGGGTTTTTCTTGATAAGATTTTTAATGAGACAATCATGAATTACAAATTTAAAAATCAATAAAGAAATAATTTTTTTTAAAAATATAATATAACAAATATTAAAAATTTGGGCTTCTTCGGTTGGACAACGGGCAGCGCGACTCGGCCGGCAGCCAAAGGCTGCCCGAAGGCCGTCCAAGGAGATTTTCGGGTCGGGTCGGGCAGCCTGAAATTACCGCAGTTCGGGCTCGGTAATCGGGTAAAAATTCAAACTTTTCAGTGATCGCGGGCGGCCCATCCAAAGTTTCAGCACTACATTAGTTACAACAAATTTTCCGTTTACTTTGTCTTCTTAGCTTCTTCCTGAATTAATAATAGAACACGCACACTATAATCAAGAATTTCCTAACCATAATACTCACAAGGCTAATTACTT